AGTAAGTCTGTGGAGGGGGTGGGGCGGAGGGAGAGGGAAGAAGCAGGGGGGGGTGCAAACCGAGGCCCCCATGGTGAGGGAGTAAGTGAGGCAGGAGCATGGGCAGGTGCTGGTGTGAATGGGGCCCTGGGGCCAGGGCAGGTTGTAGGACGGAGCCATTGGTGGCTTGTCCAGGGGTGTGGTGGGGGCAGCTCCCCACTGCTGTGCACACCCCCAGGGAGGCATGGGGGGAACATGCCCCCTCGATTTGTGTGTGGGGAAGAGGTGGACTGCCCACTGTGGGCTAGGGCTCTGTCTCCTGCTGCCTTTGCCATGGGAGCCATGCACTGGCCGCTTGTCTCCTGCCTCCCCAACTGTAGGAGGCACAACATGGTGTTGCTCCCAGGGCAAAGGCAGCAGGCACAGAGCCCCAGCCTGCACCAGGCAGCCTGCCTCTTCCCTGCACATAAATCCAGGGGGCATATGCCCCCATGCTTTCCCGGGAGTGCGCTCAGCAGTGGGGAGTGGCACCAACGCCCTCCCGCCCCCATGCCCCTGGACAAGACTCCTGCAGCTCCATCCCACGATCTTCCCCGGCCCCAGGGCCCCATTCACTCGAGTACCTGCCCCTGCCCCACTCTCTCCCTGAGCAGAGGGCCTCAATCTGTCTCTGCCCACCTCTTCGCTCTCCCCCTGCACCTGCTGGGCCCTGCTCTACATGTAGCCAGGCTGCATTCCTGGCTGTGTACATGCTGCGGCTGTTCGTGTGTGTCTGTGTCTATGTGCGCACCTCCCCTTCTGCTGCAGCTGCCCAGAACCTGCGCACGGGCTGCCCTGTGGTCCTCTGTGGTGCTAATGCTACCCCACGGAGCTGCTCGGAGGTGGCGGAGCAGAGTCCTGGCTTGGGCTCCTACACCACGTACGTGATTAACGCAAGAACAAATTAATGTGTTAATCACACGTGTTAACTGCCCTAGTTATAGCCCTTCCCTTACCTTAGGTCTGCCTTGTCTATTTTAATTGTAAGCCCTTTGGGAGAGGGACTACCCACTGCTCTGTGTTCATATAGTGCCTAACACAATTCTTGTTTGGGCCCTAGCCACTACTTTTATTAAAATTATTAATAATAGAAATAATTAAGAAAAGAGACAAGACCTTTCCCCTGTTTACTGTCATAAATACTACTAAATCAGAAAATATAGTAACAAATAAGGATATTCTCAGGCTGACAAGTACCCACTTAAGTCTCATTTGTGGGAGGAACAAGGCTGGAATAATATTCAGTGCATTAAGATTCCTCAATTTCCTTCCCTTATGAAAAAACACTGTATCTTGCCAATTGAATTTACCAACCTAAAAATGCATTGACATTATTCACAGAGTACCACCTAGAAATATATCATCATGGCTTTGGTCCAAGTTGCTGAAACATAATAATTATATCTTTTATGCAGTTTCTACAGCTGATCGATTATAAAATGTTATGTCTAACCCATAGTGTTTGAAGAGAATAGGGACACAGAGAAACAGTGTACATTTAACTAGGTCAAAATGTAGCATTCATTACTCTGTGCAAAATAAATAGGCATGAAAGATTTCTCTATTCCTTATGCTATCAGCTGGGTATTTGTCTTCTCAAGAACTATCTTCCTTTTTTTCTTAGATCCCTTTCAACCACGAATAAATTAACAATCACTTTTTGTAAAACCTGCAGAAATTAATGTCAACATTTATTACCATGAAATCCAGAGCATGCAACCTGAGCTCTGGGAAAGGTAACTACTTAACCGAACCTATCCTGATGAGAAGGAAATATCAAATGCATTATAAATGTTGACAGAATGATCAGGCATGTAAATGAGGTCATCCAACACCACTCTACGCATTATTTACCATTTTTGTAAATCAGCTTAAAGTATTAAAAACACATACAGTCTTGCACAGGAAGCTCCTAATCCTTCAAAATGTGATAGCTGTTATTTGATTTGCCTTTTAGATACCAATACACATAACAGATTTAAACTAAGGAAGATTACTGAACACACCGTTTGGTAATTGTTTTCAATTGATCATGCCTGCAAGATTGATTTTTTGGGAGCCTTTGCAGTTTGATTATAGCACACACATGCACACCCACATGTGACTTTTCATTACGTACCTATGCACCACTACACTACACTACACAACACTAACCAAGTCTTGGAAGTTTAGGCAACAGAGGGAGACAGCAAATATCCAGCCAACATCAAAAGTATGGACCACTCACATTTCCTGCAAGTCAACACACAACAGACAAGGAAGTCATGCCACCTGGTTTCCTGCGGTCAAAGGTAAGTTACAGTTCACAGCAGACAGTCATCACTCTTAGAGTTGAACAACCCTTCAGCATATTACCTAGTCATATTGCTAGGATCAAGCAAAGTCCACCAGACACAACAAGCATTCCTTCTTTCACTGCTTTATCTCATAAGAAAAAACTGCTTATTTTTAGATGGAAGGGCTACAGACCTCCACTAAGAACTCCAATGTACAACTGAAAATAGGACCAAACCCAGACTTGGTATCAGAGAGCACAACTTGCAAGAAAGTCATGTGGAGTTACAGTCACTTATTTGATAGCTTAATTGCACCTATACTAGCACTTACCCTCTCCAGCATTCACATTCAGGACATAACCAGGGCATTAGTTAGTGATGGTACCAAGTACTCATTTTCAAAAACTTAGCACGTGATACTGGAGTGCCAATTCACACAAAATGCCCTTGAATGGGAGTTCGGCCTCCCTGGCCAAAAAAGTCAAAAAGAATTAGAGGACTGTCAGATAAGGAACTATAAGTGAGTTAAGGACATGGGAAATTCTCACAAGAACAGAGTTTGAAAATGTTTGCATCAGAAAGGAGGCGAATAAGACAGGGAATGATAAGAGTGTATAAAATAATGAATGTTCTAGGGAAGAAGATTGTGAGTTTCTGTCTAAGAGATTGGGAGTTTCAGAATAAGCGCCAGGGGATCAATGAATGAAAGTGAAAGATGGCCATAATGTTCAAAGAGGGACTGGACATTTGTATGGTCAACTAGAAGATGCAGAGTTATAGTAGTTAATGTTCACAAAAATGTAAATGGAAGAAGCAAGAAACCTCGAGGCCTAAACTAATCTCTGACTAAAAGGGATTACATTAAGATTTTCATGGTGATCAGATTAATCCATATCTACCTGTGGTGGTTCTTGCATCTTTCCCTTAAACTTGTGGCGCTGGCCAGTGGTGGTACCTGCACACTGAACTAGATAGACTGCTGGTCTGAATCTTATAGCCGTTCCTTTATTCCTATTACTTCAGAAGTCTAGGAGAAGACAGTGTCAAAGCTGTCAAAAGCAGAGCTCCCAGACTGTTTCCTTGTATAAATTTACTCCTGCTATCTAAGGACCTACTGAAATTGCAATTTCCTAATTTTTGTGGAAACTGATTTTCGGTGGAATCCATGAAAAAACAAGGGCTCCACAAAAAGGCTCAGGCTCTGTGCTTTTGGTGGGCTCACTGAAAAAATAAACTTATCGAAAATAAAATGCTGGAGCCAGCAGTCCTTGTCGCCACTGCAGTGTGGCTGCGCAGCCCACCAGGGGTGGGAGTGAGGGGGAATGGGTCTGCTGGGATGGCAATATGGCTGCTGCCCCACCCCTCGCTGCTGATTGGCTGTGAAAGCTGTCTGTCATACAGCCCCACCCCTCTCCACCAATCAGCAATGAGGGGTGGGGGCATGATAACTCTCTTGAAACCAATCAGCAGCAAGGGGTGGGGCCAACAGGGCCCCTCGACCAATCGGAGGCAAAATTGGCTGGCATCCGCCTCAAGTTCAGTAGACCCCTACCAATACCTAAAGATTTTGTTATTCAGTGGTGGTGATTTCTGAACGGGGCCTACCAGGCATGACTGTAATAACAATTAATACAACAACAATAATTCATTGTAAATACAAATGAATAATAAATTGAGCCAATAGGGCCTTTATGTTAGGTTATTTAGTTCTTGCTCATTCCATCCCCTCACATTGAGTACAATGGAAACTGAGGACCTTATCACCTTCTTCTGGATTTCAACTTACACATGTTCTCTTTTAGTGTATTTTCCACCTTTTGGTCTTCCTTTCATTAGCTTGATGATATTTTACTTTAAATTTAAAAGGATAAAATAATAAGGAAATGGACATAGACAGGGAATTGAAACTATTCAGAGACATGTAACTGCTGCATCTGATTAAAGGTTATTCATGCCACCTAGCAACAAATATTCTAGGAACAGGAAAAGGTCAGTGTGGAGACACAAAGAAGTAGAAGCAATCAAGGGTAAGGAAAGGGCATTTGTGAGGTCAAAAGCTTCAGGTACTGGAAAGGTTACAGGATGATGTTTAAAGAGAAGATGAAAGATGACAATGGAAGGGAAGACGAGGAGTGAAAGATGTTGGTACAAACAGATACAACAAATAAACAGATAGGGTTTTGAAAGAGGCAAAGACTACGTCTTTTTTTTTATTTTACTGACCTTTCGTATCTGAGACGTAAAAGTCTTGATAGCACACAACATCTAGCAAAAGGCTGGATGCCATAAGACCTCTGACACTTGGAGAAGGAAACAAAACAGCAGGGTGTAAAAAGTACTGTATCCATTCACCAGGCTCAGGACAGAAGTCCTTGTACATACCAAATTTTCACTGACTTTAAAAATGGTATTTTGAGCATGGGAAGACTTTATGGACCAAAAATGAGCAGGAACTGCAGTGTAACTACTGGGGCTCCTATTTTACTACATACTCTCTAGCCCTGCTTAAGACTATGGGTAGAAAACATAGATGATAAAATCTGGCTTGATGTAAGGGAGGAGTAAAAGAAGAAAGAACCATGAGAGACCAGCCTTCCTTCCACGGCAAACCTGGATTCATGTCTGTGTAAATTGCTATACCTGTATTTTACCATTCAAGATGAAAATCTCTCTGGTGAGTTATTGCTTAGGCTGTGGTGTGTTGTTTCTCACTTACTATACTGTGGCACGAGTGCTCTTATATTTTTTGATAGGAGATGAGAAATATGTATGATGACAGCAACAGGGAATACTATATCCTCAACTAGCTGTGCAGTTAAAATAAGTCAGTTGGGGATTTTAAGGGATACCTTGCATACAGCTAATTAAGATCCCGGTTACTGCATCATTTATGTAGAATATCATACTATCCTATGTTGTGATAGCAGCCAACATGGAAAGCAATAGCACTGCTGAGCTGCTATATTGAATCAGCACTGGTATGTGGAGTTAGAGCATATAGAAGCAGTCCTGACAAGTCATGTAAAGAAAATTGCTCTCACAGTTGTACCTCCCCAATTCAAGCTCCATTGGATGCAGCATAGCAAAAATAAAATTATTTTTTTATATGTCCATTTACTGTGTAATTCACAAAGAAGTGTTACTGTGGCAACTAGCATATCACAAGGTCCTTACTTGAGAGTTTTCAGAAGAAGCTTCTTATAGAAACACACAAATCAGTATGTCATGGGATGGTAGGTAACTGAGAAACAAAATCCTTCTGGGTATTGACAGGAATTTAGCAAATTTATGAAGTTTGCTTTCTTTCGAATTGAAGGCAGCAGGAGGGAGGAAAATAAAGGTGTAAGTGTCAACTTATCTATGTGAGATGTCCTTTTTTCTTGTTATGCTGTTCCCTTAAGGGACAGCATCATATTAGTAGCTTTTAAATGACAGATAATCCAAGTGTTGACCAAGTCAACAGATGCTGAATGAGAAGGAGAGGACTCCTGAGGGAGCTGATGTCTTGTCTGAGGCTTAATTGAAACCTTACTGGAGTCCATGACAGCCTTTAGATAGATTTCATTGGGTTTGGGATCTTTTCCTTACATTGCAAGGTTTCAATGGCAAGGCAACACCCTCTATTTCTCCTGAAAAAATAACAGACACGTTCAGACACCTTATATAATAGCTCTGTTTTTAGCAGAACTGAGTCTCCAAATTTGGGCTGGCATCGACAGGAGCTCTGCATCTTCGATAACTGGGCCACTTATTTAGATGCTGAAACATGGAGGCCAGCTACAATTTTTTATTCTGGAAAAGCTTAGCTTAATGAGTCATTTATAATATTAAGCACTAATATAAGACCTTCTATGTGTAGGTCACTTGCCTTTGGTCAGTAGTGACCAGAAAGCATTATGATGGCTTGTGAAGGTTTGTGCAGCAATCTGTTATATACGAAGTGACTAATTGATCTCAGTTAGATTCCTGATGGAAAAATGACTGCGTAATTATTGGCACTAACTGGGCACTCTCAATCAACAACAGAATGGATTCTGAAATGAAAATGTTGTCTCACTTTCCAAGTGGCCCTCCTGAAAGGCAGGTTGTCAGGGCAGAGTGGTTAAGGCTTGCTCTTCTATTACCCAGGCTAGGCACTGTTTTGTTTGATGCACAGTGAATGCTGTTTTACTGAGCACCTATGAGGACTGTAGATATATTGCAATTTATAAATATATCCACCCAAATTCGAACAGATTCATATCTCTAGGGAAAAAATGAAATCTTACAATCTTTGTACACAGAATTCTCCCTATTCTACCCACAGCCTCAGGGAAAGCCTGGGAAACAGATAGGCCTTGTAGCTTGACCCTAAAGGTTAACAAATTGGAGCTGTGGAGGAGAAAGGGCAGTCAATCTCCAGGGTTGTTGGTGCTCTGGCAGACATGGATGATTTAAGTCTCTAGGGGCTGTCAATCATACACCTTTCATGAGCACTTAGAAAAAATAAAGCAGGGAAAGTGCTTTCCAATCTGCATACGTGAAATTCCAATTCCCTGGGACCTATACACATTCCAGTACCCATCTGCACAAATACACGTGTCTCTATGAATCAACGTTTAAATCCAATGAAACAACAGGCTAGATTCTCAGCTGGTGTAGAGTCTCATGTAGCTACCTAGACCTGACCCACTCTTTTATAAATCAGTCCTAAAGACTGAGATCTGGATTATGAACCGGCATTTACTGTATGTGCAGATTCCATCAGGGATTTTTGTTGGGTGTCCACTGCACTAGACTCCTCGCTTCTTGCTGAAGTGCCTCTAGTGGTACAGCCTTTTACTGAATTAAAACAATGGAACTGGCAGGAAACCAACAGCTCTTGACCATCTGAGAAGAGCAAAAAATAAATCCTTGAGGATATAGTGCTAGTGAGTAGTTGGCAGAGTGAATTAACAAAGTCTGACTTTTCCCCTCCCTCTGTTTTCAAAGATATTAGTAACAAAATCTGGCAGGCTGAAAGCCCTGTGCACTCAGAGGAGAGAGAGAGAGAGAGAGAGAGAGAGACAAAGGGGCAGTGCTGAAATCCACATTGTCAATTTAAAAATGGCATAGTTTTTGAATTTACACAATATATCCATTCTTGTTGTGCTTAGTTCATGGAAAAATATTAGACATCAGGCAAGAATGTAGGAATGTGTCTAACCTCTTATCTTCTGAAAAGGCTTAAATTCATTTGAATTTGCTTTTAAAAAATAAGAGCATCTGCCTGCACATTTCTTTAGGAAAAGGGACGTTCTGACCAAAATGCATATTAGTAGTAGTAGTAGTAGTACTACTACTGTCTCCAAATATCAGTCCTTAAAAATGAAAACAGACAGGATGCAGGGAAACAAGGCTAAAGTAGTATTGATTAGTATAGTGCCTTGAGGATTCTGCCCAAGACCCTGAAGGGCAACATCAATGGGACATTTCCACCCATGTTCAGAAGTTGCACCCATAGTGCAACAATCCAGCTAAGTCCAAACTCAAGAAGAAATATTGCCAACTCATATAGTGACATCAACCCATGAGACAATGTAGTGAATTGATAATAATAGTTACTGAACTCAACAAGGTGCATTAGATTTAATCCACTCGCCCTTTTGTCCTCTAAGCCCCGCTATTGCAAGGCTGTGTTTTCATATTCTGCAGGGGGTAAATTTATCTCCATGTGAAGAACTGGCACAAGACTAGTCATTAGTCATGTCTCTGTTTTGTCCCTCAGACTAGGACAGAATGAATAAGTCTTGTGCTTGTCCTCTCGGAGTTGGACACCCGTAAAAAAAATGTCCCGTTTTGGGGGAAAGGAGGATAGAAGGCATCAACAAAAGATTTGTTTTAAGCAAAGATGTGAAGATTTATTACTGTGACATTTGGCCAAAATGCATAATTTAGCTGCTTCTCTACTGATATCACGTTTCAGAGGTTATTAAAAATGAGGCAGACAGAGTCACAGTCTAAGAAGCATAATACTTAAATGCTTTAATTAAAGGTAAACTTCTGCATTGGGATGGCTGTGGTTAAAGCATCAGGCAAAGATCTGACAGTTCAGCCCACCAGAGAGAAAAAAGGTGCTCTCTGTTTTACTAAGCATTCAGTGTCAATATTCAGTGAGGCTTGAGTCTTAAATGGCTTTTAACTACAGGCACCTTAGCATAAATGTTCACTTCTTAATAAAAAAAGCAAACTGGGACGTTTCTAATCCTCCTGATTTAGATGTTTGAATGTGAGAGTTTATCTTGGGAAGATGGTGGCTGAATTAAACCTACAGCTATGCCAGCTTCAAACAGGAATTTCAGACAGAAGGCTTAAAATATATGTGTGTGTGTGCCTGCATGTTTTTTATATGCTGTGTACATACAAGCGTAAATATACACAAATCTTTCTTTTTTACAATTATTTCAAACCAACTGAAGCTACATACTACATTTTATGCATAAGGCACTTCACAGAATATTTCATATTCTGATATAATTAATTTGGTGTTTCAATTTAATTACCTTAGTCAATAACACATTAAATGAGGTGTTTTAAGTGCTCATTTAATTTACTTGAGGTTTAATAAGGCAATTGCTGTAAGTTAAATCGGCTAACCAGCTGGACATGCTTTCTCTTGAGTATTCGAGGCCTGATCCAAGGTACACTGTGTCACAACCCAAAGTTGTGAGTTTTTGTTTGTGTGTGCTTCGGCACTGCTAAATTATTTTCCCGCCAAATTGCAGCTTCTTTGCACGGTGGACTTTTCTGCTGCAAAGGAGAACTCCGGTGCAATGGAGAATTTTCCCGCCAATTTGTAGTTTTCTTTGCATGGTGCATTTCTTTTGCATCTCAGAAATGCACGGTGCAAAGGAGTTCCCGCCATTTGTATTTTAATTCGAGCCCCATTATTGGCTTGTGTTAAATTATGCACACGTGGCGGCTAGCAATTGGCTTGCTAGCCGTATAAAGAGCTTGGGTGGTTTCCGCCCAAGTTGGAGAGAAAGCAATTGGAGTCCGAGAGGGAGAGCGTGAAGATCTCTAAGCGCTGCGGATCCTTACGAACCCAACGCATTTCTTAAGAAGGCAACAGAGGTCTAAACAGCCTCTGGCCTCTCCCCGTCGCCGAGTGCAATCCTAGACGTATCCCTATCCTATATACTCAATTGCCGAACCCAAGGAGCCTTAACAACTCCGGGGCCCAAGAACCGAGTTTGTCGTAGTCCTCCAACGAGGATTTAAGCGGAGCTGAACCTGGAAACTGTCCAGCCTACACTGCGACCATCTTGGGTG